AAAATCGATTTTTTTTTTGAAAAAAGCCTACTATGATCAAAACCAAAAATGCTTTAAATTGCATTTTAAAACATATATAGGTATTATAAATGATAAAGATTGCTAATATAGATTTAAAATCGATATTTTTTTGAAAATAGCCTACTATTATCAAAACCAAAAATGCTTAAAATTGCATTTTAAAACATATCTAGATATTATAAATGATAAAGAATGCTAATATAGATTTTAAATCGATATTTTTTTGAAAAAAGCCTACTATGATCAAAAACAAAAATGCTTTAAATTGCATTTTAAAACATATTTAATATCGAAATAAAATCGATTTTTTTTTGAAAAAAGCCTACTATGATCAAAAACAAAAATGCTTTAAATTGCATTTCAAAACATATCTAGGTATTATAAATGATAAAGATTGCTAATGTTGATATAAAATCGATATTTTTTTTTTTTTGAAAATAGCCTACTATGATCAAAACCAAATATGCTTTAAATTGCATTTTAAAACATATCTAGGTATTATAAATGATAAAGATTGCTAATGTTGATATAAAATCGATATTTTTTTTTTTTGAAAATAGCCTACTATGATCGAAACCAAATACGCTTTAAATTGCATTTTAAAACATATCTAGGTATTATAAATGATAAAGATTGCTAATATAGATTTAAAATCGATATTTTTTTGAAAAAAGCCTACTATGATCAAAAACAAAAATGCTTTAAATTGCATTTTAAAACATATATAGGTATTATAAATGATAAAGATTGCTAATATAGATTTAAAATCGATATTTTTTTGAAAATAGCCTACTATTATCAAAACCAAAAATGCTTAAAATTGCATTTTAAAACATATCTAGTTATTATAAATGATAAAGATTGCTAATGTTGATATAAAATTGATATTTTTTTTTTTTGAAAAAAGCCTACTATGATCGAAACCAAATACGCTTTAAATTGCATTTTAAAACATATCTAGGTATTATAAATGATAAAGAATGCTAATATAGATTTAAAATCGATATTTTTTTGAAAATAGCCTACTATTATCAAAACCAAAAATGCTTTAAATTGCATTTTAAAACATATCTAGATATTATAAATGATAAAGAATGCTAATATAGATATAAAATCGATATTTTTTTGAAAAAAGCCTACTATGATCAAAACCAAAAATGCTTTAAATTGCATTTTAAAACATATCTAGGTATTATAAATGATAAAGAATGCTAATATAGATTTAAAATCGAATACTATGATCAAAAACAAAAATGCTTTAAATTGCATTTTAAAATATATTTAATATCGAAATAAAATCGATTTTTTTTTTTGAAAAAAGCCTACTATGATCAAAACCAAAAATGCTTTAAATTGCATTTTAAAACATATATAGGTATTATAAATGATAAAGATTGCTAATATAGATTTAAAATCGATATTTTTTTGAAAATAGCCTACTATTATCGAAACCAAAAATGCTTTAAATTGCATTTTAAAACATATCTAGGTATTATAAATGATAAAGATTGCTAATGTTGATATAAAATCGATATTTTTTTTTTGAAAATAGCCTACTATGATCGAAACTAAATACGCTTTAAATTGCATTTCAAAACGTATCTAGGTATAATAAATGATAAAGATTGCTAATATAGATTTAAAATCGATATTTTTTTGAAAAAAGCCTACTATGATCAAAAACAAAAATGCTTTAAATTGCATTTTAAAACATATTTAATATCGAAATAAAATCGATTTTTTTTTTGAAAAAAGCCTACTATGATCAAAACCAAAAATGCTTTAAATTGCATTTTAAAACATATATAGGTATTATAAATGATAAAGATTGCTAATATAGATTTAAAATCGATATTTTTTTGAAAATAACCTACTATTATCAAAACCAAAAATGCTTAAAATTGCATTTTAAAACATATCTAGGTATTATAAATGATAAAGATTGCTAATGTTGATATAAAATCGATATTTTTTTTTTTGGAAAAAAGCCTACTATGATCGAAACCAAAAATGCTTAAAATTGCATTTTAAAACATATCTAGATATTATAAATGATAAAGAATGCTAATATAGATTTTAAATCGATATTTTTTTGAAAAAAGCCTACTATGATCAAAACCAAAAATGCTTAAAATTGCATTTTAAAACATATCTAGATATTATAAATGATAAAGAATGCTAATATAGATTTTAAATCGATATTTTTTTGAAAAAAGCCTACTATGATCAAAAACAAAAATGCTTTAAATTGCATTTTAAAACATATTTAATATCGAAATAAAATCGATTTTTTTTTTTGAAAAAAGCCTACTATGAGCAAAACCAAAAATGCTTTAAATTGCATTTTAAAACATATATAGGTATTATAAATGATTAAGAATGCTAATATAGATATAAAATCGATATTTTTTGAAAATAGCCTACTATGATCGAAACCAAAAATGCTTTAAATTGCATTTTAAAACATATCTAGATATTATAAATAATAAAGAATGCTAATATAGATTTAAAATCGATATTTTTTTGAAAATAGCCTACTATTATCAAAACCAAAAATGCTTTAAATTGCATTTAAAACATATCTAGGTATTATAATTTGTTTTTTATCATTTTCACACAAAATTTTCAATTTTTGTGAATATGTATATTGTTTTTGGTTTTTCGCAAAATCAGTTTTTTTAACTTTCTGCTTCAGGCTTACGGAATCAACCAAAATACCTAGCATGTAAAAGTTTGTGCCTCAAAATACCTATCTAATGGTGAAAACAATTTTTCATGTGGCAGTTCCAGTTCCGAGAAATCGTAAAAAAGGCATTCTGTTGGTTAATCGGTGCGATAACTTGATTCAAACTCAATATTAAGACTTCCGTTTTTTGCTTCTGATAGATAATGGCTATCGCAAGAACTGTATTGTTTTTGGAGTCATAAGATGCTTCCAGTGAGGCACAAGATGCATAAACATTTTTGTATGGAAAAAGTTTAACCGATTATTATATAACATATTTTTTTTTGTTTACAACGGAAATATTTGTTGGTAGTAGTTTGATATTAATAAAATGGTTGTGACAGTATGCATTAAGTTAAATGTATGTGAAAAAATGTTGTAACTAGCGAGTTCCTTCACAAGATTCAGCTTACTGGATCTATGTTATTGAATACATACTTTACTTGTATCATAATGGAAATATGTTTTTTGTTCCAGCATTGATTTTTTTCTTGCTATATACTTACTGGATCTTGAGTCTTGGATCTGAACAAATTAAATTATTTAACCAATTTTTCACAATCATCTCTCAATCTCAACAAATTGTCAAAGCCCACTAAGAAATTTTTCTTATTTCTTAATTATAAAAAAATTGAAATTGAAATTGTCAAAGCCCACTTAAAACTTTTTCTCAAATTTTACTGGATCATGGTTTCAAGTTTAAGACATGATTTAAACTTTACTGGATCTTGGTTCCAAGTTTTAGACATGCTTAAAACTTTACTGGATCATTGTAATTTGTTGCAGACATGATTAAAACTTTACTGGTTCATTGTAATTTGTTGCAGACATGATTAAAACTTTACTGAATCTTTGTTTTAAGTTTGTTGTTGGATCAACAAATCCGAAAATTAAAAAAGACATGAGCATTAAATATTATGTATATCCAAATATTTTGTGTGATGATGATAAACATGGAGTTCAGAAGACACATAAACACCAAAAAAAGCCTTAAAAATTTATGATTTTGTTCAGAGTTACAATCTGTCAGCATACAAAATGAATTTCTGTACAACTGATGATATCGAGACGATTCCAACGTAAAAAGAGCGAATCGAGGCAAAATCACTAAACATGAGTGATTATGAGTGAGATTATGAGCTGAGCGAGGAAGTTAAAGATAGAATCTCACATGAAACGCAATTATTTTCATTCTTTCGAATTTTATTAATTATAAGGACAAATAAAGGTTTCAATCATATAAATTGACAATTGTTGAACTTGTTTTAAGCAAATCAAAAAGTTTTCGATTAATTATTGAAGCCCACAATGTCAGGAGCTTAAGAGTGCACAATGATTCTACAATGATTCAGATTCGGAAAAAATGTTCAAAAATTCCTTGTGGACAATATGTTTCCGACACGTTAGAAAATTGAAATTTTTTGGTAATTTCTCTTGATTTGATTCTTTTAGCATCTTCTTCATTTTCGTCCATTGTTCAAAAAAGCAGTCCTTTATATAAAGGATAAACATGATTTTTGTACATAAGTTTGTAAAAGTTTATCAAAAAATATTGAGCATGATCAAATTTTGTATGAAAATTTATGTAGACTTTGATCGCAAATATCTCGAAAACGGCATCAAACGGCATGTCCTCAGTAATACGGGAGATAGATTTAAGCTTAATTAATTGATTTATAAAGGTTTCAGAGAGGTCTTTGGAAGACTTTTTAAGTTTTGTAAAAATACTCAGATTTCAATTGCACTTTTAAGACTTAATCAGCAGTTTTCTTTTGATTTGGTAGTTTTAATATGCAGATCTAAGCTTAATTTAGCTAACAACAGCTAGCAAGATAAGGAAATAACAACTTAAAGTAGAGAAAATCAAAGTTTTTTTTTTCATATACAAAATGTAAACAAATTTTTGTTGAAAATAAATTAAAGATTTCTGGAGTTTGACATCAAATTTAAACGAGATATTTTCACTGAATATGCCTCAAGTTAAGATCTTTAATCTGGCATTTAAAAGATGTAGTTTAATTAATATGTTATTTTTGAATTTTTGAAAAAATTTCCGAATCTGAATCATTGTGGAGTGGCATAAAAGAAAACAATATTCTACATCACATGAAAAATGACAAGCTTGTAACCACAAGTTAAGTTTTCAATCAAAATTATGGAGCATCACAAGCAATTAAAATCGCATTTCTCATCTTCTCAAGCGTCGCTACTGAAAATTGCACAATAATCTACATCAATTAAAACACACGCAAAATTAACATGTCAGTCATTAAACAAGAAAGTTAATTAATTTTTATTTTTGATCATTTTCTGTATCATTTCTTTATCATAGTCCATAAATTTTTGTAGTCTAGTTCCTTTTGGATATTCGGCTGGATATTTGCGTAGCTGAAAAATGAAAAGAATGGCAAGAAGCTGTAATTTAAATCAGAATTGCAATGATATGATCTTGTGGTGTACACGAACTTAATGCGAAGGTCCACGAGTTGAATAATTTTGATTAAAATTTCATAAAATTCAAATTTCTTTTAACGGAAACCCTTTTACGTGATTGAATGAAATGTGAAACTTTTAACTTTACTTACTTTTACCATTTTTCATCTTTTTGTGAATTACAATACGTGTAATGTGTGAATGTTTTATGTAGTGTGAGAGTACCAATAATGACATCATGTGAATTTATTAAAGATTAAATCTCGTTTCTTTATTTTTAATTAATGCCTTATATTTTTAGTATGTTGTTTTTTTACAAAAATGTTGTGAATTTTAAGCGAATTTATAGTGCATAAAGTATGAGACGAACCATTTCAAGCCATCACCAAAAAATTTGTGAGTGCAACCATAATGTGTAATTTATTAATTGTATAGGAAAAGAAACAAAGAGTTTAATATTAAGAAATCAGTAGATGAATAAATTGGTTAAAAAGAGAAACTTAATAATGTTAATTAATGATTGAAGGAAGAAATTTTTCAGCGAAAAATTAGAAAATATCATTTCCGTCTTTATAAAATGATATAATCGCGATTTCTATTCTACTTTTAACGATTTGAAAGATTTATTTTTAAAACACATTTCTAAAGGAACTATAAAGTTTTTTAATTTAAATTTTCTAAAGATTTGAGTGTCGATGCCACTATAATTGAACATCTTAGATAATTTGAATGCTATTCGTGGGATTGTACTGAAAAATATTTGTCATAACAACAAAAATCTAGATCTTAGTTTGATAATTAGTAAAATCATCAGACACAGATTACACTTTATTACTTAAGGACAGATGATTCATAATAAATAAACGAACCCAATTCAAGTTTTATCTAGTTTAATTAGAAAATTAATCAGAGGATTTAAAAAACTAATCTGTAGGTTTAAAGACTGACGATTTTAATTGATCCTATTCATAAAAGTATTCCTCCAAGATTGTATGAAAAATCTAAGAATTAATTTCCCTGTCTTTAAAGCCTCATATGACGCCCGATCATCACCCAAGATATTAGCATTCAAATTATCCAAAATTAGCACATAATCAATATTAATGGAACCGATTCTCAGCATGATAAATAAAAACAAACAAACAATGAAGAAAGCAGAACTAAAACTGTTTCTTATTCAGCTAAGACAGAAACAAAAAGATGCCAAAAAAATATTGTAGACAGAATAATAATTTTGGGTCATGCAGTGTAAAATTACTACTAAAATGAATATAGAGACTGGCTGACTGCACAAACTTGGAATAAATTGCTTGAATTAAAGTGATCTCGAATATCTTTTATGAACATTTATTCATCTAAACTCTCTTTAACTGTATTTGGCGTAACGTTTCTGTGAAAGATATCAAATAATTTGACATGTTATAAATATTATGTAAATAATTATTAAGCAGATGCAGCATATGTGAATAAATAATTAAATTATTAAAGCTTAAAAATTCAAGACTTATTAAATTGCACGCTGTTACTTAATTACATTCGGTTACTGCAATTTAATGGATTATCACAGTGATTAGACTTACCATAATTCGGTATTTCTCTTTGCATGCAAAATCTGTCTCATCAACATCTTGATAGCAGTCATGTCGACTGTCCTTAGGTACACCATTACCTTCATGTTCGCACAACTTGCTGATTGGATGAGCTCTAAAAGAAGCAAATGTAAATACATTGACTCAAGGACATTATGACCGAATATGGAAGTTGTATGCCTACTTAACAATCATCTTGTCAATTGAAACTTGATGTTTTGAGTTCGACGTTGGACAGTAGAAAATGTCTGGGTTTTTCTGTAATGCACAAATTGGGACGTTATTTTTAAAATTTTGATGACTATTATCATCAAGCGAGGTCGTCGCACACACCCAACCAAGCAAGAGTAAGGAATGATCAACATATTTGTGATAAACTCGATCAGTTTCATCCAAACAATTACAATAAATGAACAATCCAAAAATGAACTCAACATACCTTATCGTATATAATCATTTTCCTCAACATGTCTTTGTCCTTAATTTTCGGAAGTTTGTCTTTTGCGAACGTCGTCGACGCGCAAAGAATGCAAAGAATGACTAACAGTTTCATGTCTCTAAAAGAAGAAAATTTAAGAAACAGATATTTTTTCATAACATATTGACAAATTAAGCTTTAAATCTATTAAAAATTCATTCAAGTTCCGCGCATTATGCAAATTAGCATTTAGTCACACACACATTAACATTTTGTGCTTATTTGGTCAAGAATGTCTCCCACAACTTCGTAACACAAGAGAAACTTAAAAGATGATCAAGCTTGCAAAAATAGAAGTGATTCACATTTGTCCATTACAGTTATGCAAAACTTTTCGTGGGTGAGTCTTGTGAAGATTAATTAAAGCAACTCCACAAAAAACAACTTTCAAAAAATTGGATATAAAATTATTAAATCACACAGCAGTTAAAATACAATGAAATATTGAAACTAAGGTCGCACTTTTGTTGCTCTGAAATTGAATACCTATGCTAAAGATTACCACATTAAACAAATAATTTATAGATTCTTAACACGATATGCTTGATTTAAGCGATTTCTAAAGGTAATAAAAATTAATCCAAATAATATTTTAAGTAAATTACATTTTTATAAAAATTAAGGTGTTGTCTCAGGTACGATTAAAAAAAGACTGAAGCTATAAGGTGTAGAAACTGTGAGACTGTGAACAACAATCAACACTTGTGAGATCATTCGACTGTTTTGATGTGTTTGTGTTAAAAACTCTCATAAGCTCTTGAACAACTAGTGTATCGGGTAGAAACCCAATGCGGATATATTCACACCGTACCATCAAAAGTCTTATGGGTAGACCAAGATTTGCTCAGCATAAGTTTGAAGGGTGGGCGTTAAGTACGGCCGAGTCCCATATCGACACAGTTCAAAAGTTATACCTAATTTATGTCATAATTATGTCAGCTACAAAAACACGTAGTTTGAATTTTGTCACCCTCGGGAACACTATGAACCAGTATAGCTGATTTTGGTCCAAATCTCGGCCATACTTCACACTTATTTGAACCACATTTTCTCGTAAATGTTAAAATATTATTAAAAAGTAATTAATCCTGAATTATGTCGCTATTTTGTCAAGTGTTTTAAGATAAAGAATTTGTTTTTTGGTTTCCACAGTGAAGAGTATGAACACAATTCAGATGGGGTAGTCGAAATTTTAGATTTCGATTTTTTTTAAGCTATGCATTACAAAAAGTAATATTGGTATGTGATTTATGTCAGAATTATGTCAATTCAAATAAAACATCCAAAAAAAATTTTTTTGACCAAAGTACACCATAGAAAATCAATTTTCAATTTTGGACTAGGGGCGACCCTAGTCTAAATCAATTTTGTCACTTTTTTCTTCGAGGGTTGTTCCAAATGGATTGAAACTTAGTTTGAGCATTCTAATCCTCAGGTCACACATTTCTGAATTAATAAAAATCATTTTTTTGGAAAAATTTTAAGTCACGTTGTTTTTATGTGTAGAACCAAATTTATAAAATTTGGTAGAAATATACATTTCTTGCTTTAGATATTTAAAACTGTTTTGTATAAATATTAGTATACTCACACAAAGTTTCACTGTAATTGGATAAACCTTCGAAGAAAAAAGTGAAAAACTAGATTTTGACTAGGGTCGCCCCTAGTCCAAAATTGAAAATGTATTTCCTACTTGGTTCTTTGCTCAAGAAAAATTTTAAGATGTTTTATTTGTATTTGTTTTAAGCACTACAATATTTATAAAAAGTTTCAATCCACTTGTATAAACCCTCGAAGAAAAAAGTGACAAAATTGATTTTGACTAGGGTCGCCCCTACTAGGGTTTGGGGAATCTGTTAACAGAAAACAGAAAAACAACATTTACAGAAAAAAAATTCCTTAATTTTTTGAAGAACTTAATATATTTTTCTAGCATTTCAAATTGAAATGTATTTACTATTTTAATATTTTTTGGATGTTTATTAGTTTTGAAATCATTATCAAATTTATGGTTAATCATTATTAATTTTGCAATCGAAATTTTAAATTTGTTGAACCTTTTGTAGCATTTACTAAAGTTTAAAAATATAATCAACAATTTTACAAGATATTTTTTTATTCAGAAAGATTTTTTGAATATTTCAAATAAAATATTAGAGCTTATGGAACTTTTACAATGCAACAATGCAATGTTACTTAAAGGTATAAATTCTTTGGATTTGTTTTTGCATTTTTATATTTCATTTTATTTTTTAAAGTTATTTAACATAAAAAAATAAGAAATAATAATGCTTAGCTCTAAAATGTATGCTTAACTGCTTATAACCACCAAAAAGTTTCATTATCTTAGAGAAACATTCAGTTTATTTTGAATTCTAGAAAAACAGGAAAACAGCTGTTTTTAAAAATCAAAAACAGCTGTTTTCCACAAACCCTAGCCCCTAGTCCAAAATTGAAAATGTATTTCCTTCTTGGTTCTTTGCTCAAAAAAATTTTTTTCATCCAAAGTTTAATTTAAAAAAAAATCACAGTGAACTTTTAATTTGAAAAATTCGTAGGAAAGGAAAGTTTTTTGCTTTTTCTGAAGCAACGGCCGTTCCTACCTTGCCCAAAAACAACACAGCTCTTCTATAGAGCAGCACGGATCAAATGTAAAAAACTAGAAGTCTCTACGATGTCTCGTTATTGAGATTTCTTGCTGATTAACTTGCTTGTTTGCTTGCTTACAGAAAGCATATTTTGCGATTTTATCAGCAATGCCGCAACCAATTTGAAATCTGTTTTTTTGCAAAAGATGTGAAATTCAAGGCACAAACTTTTCATCTCTGAACATTTTAAGCTATCTTGCTCCATATCCTCACAAAATTCTAAAAACTGATTTTTCAATCTGAACAAAACCAATAGATTCACACGTGAAAACGGTGTGAATATAAAAAGCTTTCAGCATAAGCTGGGCATAAGCAGATGTTTAGATTAGATTTTCTTTCTAAATGTAGAATCGATCTTTATGAAGAAAATTTCTGTCTCAGAATTTAAAGAATTGCCTTTAAATGAACCTACTGCTTGCTTGAAACTTATTCTTCTTTCATAAAAGTAAACCGCCAAATTGAATTTCACTATTCTCAACAAAAGTTCATCCAGGTTGAATAAAAATCTGAAGATTTATCCATTAACATAACAGCCAAAATAATAATCTCAAAAAGTAAGTTTATCGATTAATGCCCAAAAAGCTAGTCAAAAAATAACCGTTGTTTAAAATTCAAATTCTTTCCCAACCATTATTTATTTTTCCGTAAAATTGTCAGAGTTAAAAAAAATTGAAATTAGTTGAGAAATACAGTTTAATTAAGTGAAATAATAATCAAAATGGATCTTTTAACTGTGCCTTTAAAGAAGCCAAATGAGGTTGATTTGGTAAAGCCTCTAAAGAGCCTGATTCAGAGCTCAAATGTAAAACCAGCAGATAGCTCACAAATGGAAAAAATAAATTCCTTTAACAAACAGAGAAATCATGCAGTTTTCAAGGTATTCGAGAAAAATGAAGCCGCTCTAGAAGCAATTTATGCGTAAGTATGGTAATTCAAGTTAAATCAAGTAGATGTCAATTTTTATATACGTATTAGATGAGTCATTCTTTGCTCGATTATTCACTATCTTCTTTGTTGTTGTTCCTTCTTATTACACCACATATTACTCTTATTTTTCATAGGTATTATGACCAATTGAATGCTTTGGAAGTAAAAATCCCAATTCATGAGTTTCAAGTACCATTCAAATACAAAGATGCATTTGATAAAGGTTCGATTTTTGGAGGAAAAGCAAGCTTAAGTAAATATGCAGCATATCAATTAAGTCAATACATTCTAATATACTAATATTTTTGTGTATTTAACAGCTTTATCGTCGCTTGCGTTCGAAAAAGTCTGTGTACTTTTCAATATTGCGGCTCTTCAGAGCTCTATTGCTGCATCTCAATGCTTTGACAGCGATGAAGGACTTAAGACAGCTGCAAAATTGTTCCAACAATCTGCTGGAATTTTCTCACACTTAAAATCTGCAGCACCAGCTTTAGGACAGGAACCAACACCAGATTTATCACCTGATACACTTCATGTTTTATCAATTTTAATGTTAGCTCAGGCACAAGAAGTTTGTTTACTCAAAGCAATTAAAGATGGAATGAAGGATCAAATTATAGCAAAATTAGCATGTCAAAATGACGAGATGTATGCTGATGTATTAAAGACAATGCAAAAAGAATCGACTAGATCATTGTGGGATAAGGAATGGCTTCAAGTTGTTTGTGGAAAACAAGCAGGAATTCACGCTATTACTTTATTATATCAATCAAATGTGTTTAATGCTTCGAAAAAAATTGGACAGCAAATCGCTGCATTACAAAAAGCAATAGATCTTTTTAAGACAGCACAAAGTCGCGCTGGTAAGCCAGTTTATGAAGAATATAATAAGAAAGCGCAACTTAAGCTTGTAGAAGCTAAGAAAGAAAATGATTTTATCTATAATGCCATGATTCCTGATCCTTCATCATTGGAATCATCTGGAAAGTTTCAGTTAGCAAAAACTATTCCAATTACTGCTCCAATGAGTAGCAATTTCAAGGATTTGTTCAGTGATTTGATTCCTGTTGCTTTGCAGCATGCCATTCATAATTGTGATGCACAGAAATCAGAGATTGTTAATGCAGAAATAATGAAATTAAGAGATGCAACTCAAACGTTAAATGGTGTTTTGTCAAGCTTAAATTTACCAGCTGCAATTGAAGTTAACACGCCAGGACATAGTTTGCCACCGTCACTTTTAGAAAAGGCAAATGAAGTTCGCGATAAAGGAGGCGTTCAAAGCATTCAAACACTTATTGATGAACTACCAGAATCATTAACAAGGAACAAAGAGATTCTCGATGAAACTGAGAGAATGATGAATGAAGAAAGAGAGTCTGATAATCAACTTCGTAATCAATTTAAAGAAAAATGGACACGTACTCCATCTGATAAATTAACGGAAGTATTCAGGTCAAGCGCATCAAAATATCGTGAAATTATTAACAATGCGATAACTGCTGATAAAGTTGTAAGACAAAAGTTTGAGAGTAACCTTCATGGAATTGAGACGCTCACAAAACCACCAAATGAATTACAAAATGGTATTCCAGCAGCAAGTGGTGCTGTTTCTAATAGTTCATCTGTTTTAAAATTGAGAGCCTTGATGGAATCCGTTGAAACAATGAAGGTTGAACGTGATGTTATTGAATCGGAACTTAAATCTGCGACAGTTGATATGAAAGATCAATTTTTGAATGCATTGGCTCTCGACGGAGCAATTGATCCTGCGGCAACTGTCTCATTTGTAGGAAAAGCATTATCGCCATTACAAAAACAAGTTGCTGACAGTATTGGACGTCAACAATCATTAATTCAGGATATTCAAGATGCACATAGCTCATTTACAGCTGAAGTTGGATCAGGCTCGAACAAACGAGATCAACAGTTGTCACAATTGGCATCAGCCTATGATATTTTCACGGAACTACAACACAATTTAAAAGAGGGTTCAAAGTTTTACTCTGACCTTACACAGCTTTTGATCGTTTTCCAAAATAAGGTTTCTGATTTCTGCTTTGGTAAGCACTAAAATGATATGTCTGACTTAGTCAATTTCTTGCTTTCGTGAGCAAAACACGAACATTTTCTCGCGCATCAATCTTTTTAAACATGACGAAAGGAAAGATCTCTAGTTTTTAAACCTATGATTTATTTTTAAATCTGACAATTTAATCGATGGATTTATTTTTTAATCTCACGATTAATTTTTTTAATCTACAGCACGTAAGACAGAAAAGGAAGAACTTATGAAAGACTTGACAGCAGAAACTTCTCGTGTTGCTTCTGGCTTTCAACAACCAAATATTCCAAGTCATCACGGCTCAGGTATACAATTATAATAATTTCAAAAAATTAATAAAATAATCAAAAATAATAATAATTCAGCACCACCACCACCAGTTCCGGTCCAAGAACAGCAATCAACAGTTCCAGCTGTTCCATATCCTATTCAAATGCAAGGAATGCCTCAACCAGTTATGGGATATAACTTTATGCCTCAAATGCCAGCATCATTTAATCCATACGCTACATTACCAACAGGTGGAATTCCTTATCCTCAAGCATTTAGCTTTCCACAGGCTCCTGGTAATTGATAAACATATCCTGAATATTTCAAGATAAATCAAGAATTATAACTTTATGTTTTAAAAAAATTATTCAGGTACACAATATTATGGCACCTATCCTGGAGCATATGGACAACAGATTCAACAAGGAAATTATCCATATGCTGCTCCACCGAACCCAAATAATCCACAAAAACCTTACGGGTTTTAAAAGTAGATGAGCATTTCTTTTTCTCAACAAGGAATTATTTTTTTTATCGAACATAATTAAGTGCATTGCACAATGTAATTTTTAAAGAATTAATCATCATTATAATTCATGTTATTCAAAAGTTAATGAAATTAATAAATTTAATATGCATAGTATCTAGTGTCTTGTAATCTTTAAGAGTTAAGGATACATCTTGGAAGTTTAATCGTGTGTAGTCGTTCCATCTTTGAATTTCAAATATTAATGAATAGAGAAATGTTGACTGTCGAGTCTAGAAATTCATTGATTGATCAGTTAAATTAAGGATAAAAAGTCCAGAACATGATCTAATTAGAAAAATCCAATTGAATTCTAGTAACTGCCAAGTGCCATTCACAGGAAACGACTGACGTCATAAGCAACTGACCCACAAAAAAACGAAACGGTTAAAAATATATTTGAATTTTTTTCTTTTCGCAAATCTAAAGGGGCTGGCAATGTTTTAAAAAAATTATTACGAAAAAAAAGTTAAAAGGAAATTTCTTAAAAAAGGTATTTTTAATAGTTTTAAACATATATAATCTATATAAAATAGTGTAAAAAGATACATAAAGTGGATATCAAGTGAACTAAAATGGATTACGAAACGAATATTGAGTTTTAATAATGATTTTAAGGAATTTAAAAAATCAAGTCTTTTTTACGGAATTCATAATGGCATTTTCTTCTGAAATTTCAATTTCACGTAAAAAAAAATTACGATCATTGAGAAAATCATTAAAACTTAATTATATTAAGTCTGACAGACAATAAAAGTGTCAAATTTGAAGGAATCAAACTCATTTTTTGTGATATCTTAAGAATCTTCTGGATTTTCGTCATTCGATTTTTCAATATTAAATATTTTTTGCGAAATTTCATTCACGAACAATATAGACAGCAACGAGAAAGGTAGTCATTCGAACCAATCAACAGCAATTGTCGAGGAAGTAGTGTATGCAACCAATTGAGGAAATTATTACAAAGAAGTTAATTAATTGCCAAGAATACAGAGAATAGAAAGTGAAATTACTCTAAAATACCTGAAATTAAACAGTTTAAGCTATTCTCTTACGTTCCTTCCGAGTGCTATTTTTATCTTTGGGGAAAAATTACAGAAATAATTTTCATTTCTTATCATCTTCGCATAATTCCTTTATATACTCATAGTGAATAATACAAATCATAGATGGTATGGGGAAAAAAAGCAGTGATTCATAGACTTAAGGAAGGAGTATAGTTTATATAGTAAGGAACAGAGGAGTGGGAGACAAAAAAAAATTACACATCAGCGAAAATAAAGTGAAAGACCAAAAGAAGTTGATTTAAAGTGCCATCAGAAAGCTCAGAGCCTGACATTTAAAACTTTTATTTAATGTAGAGTACGAACAAAATATACCGTTCAGCTGAAGAGTGAGAGAGTGAGAGAGTATAGGAAAATAGATTTATTAAACTTATACAAACTCCCACTGTCATATGCAATCATTAAATATACTTTCAACACAACCATAGACTTTAAAAAATCAAGTTTTCCTTTCCACATAGTTCTTCATTGTTTGATTCTGTGAAAAGTGTAAGAAATGACCTTACTTAATCGTCATCATTTTTTTTTTTTGATGATCATCAGTGACTGTTTTCTCTCTCTTTCTTTACAAACAACTTTTCTTCGTTTGCTTTACGTTCCTATACTTACTTCTTCCAATCCATAATAAAAAAAATCGTGATGATTATGAGCAAAAGAAAATATTCTCTCATCTCTTATTCGTTAATGCTGACTTACTAGATGTTTTATTATTATTTTATCTTGTGAGCAAGCAAGCAAGTCGAAAAAAAAGAGTGAATCATTCGTGTATTTTTATTAACCATCATTCCAAATTGAGGAAATAAGAGAGCAGCAAAATAATGCCTGCACAACTTTTTAATATGAAAAGTGATCAAATTGCAAAATGTAGAAATTTTTTTTTTTTTTGATAAGACAATAGCTAATTATATCAGCAAGGAAAAATGGCAAAATTGATTAATGAACTCTCTTCATTTTCTCCATTACTCCATAGTTGGGTTGCTTCAATCGCAGTGCTACAATTGAAAACATAAATTCATACTTATTTAAATCAATAAGGAACAGATCGTGTGTGATTGTGAGACATCATCATTGCACTTTTGTGAAACCAATTTTGCCAAGATCTAGCTATCTATTTCTCATCACCGTTCGTTCGTTCGTCAGTGTAAGTGTGTACTTTTGTGCAGTCTTAATATTCTCACAAATTTGCACGGAGGCAAACGGAAAGTAGTTGAAGAAACAACGGTTTGAGTGTCGATCGACAACAAACAGATACAAATATCAGCCAAAACAAAAACTCGACTGAGTTACGGAAAATAAAGTATAACAGCGAAAGCATCATCAGCATCAGAACTAGCTGAAGTGAAATTGTGTTTTTAATTGGAATACCGTCAAGCTTTTGTTATCTGCTAAAAATTTATTGAGAAGCACCGATTGTCATATCTAATATGAACGTTATGAATACTAGCGGGGATGAATTACCTGAATGTCCATTATGTATGGAACCATTAGAAGTTGACGACTTAAGTTTTTACCCATGTACTTGTGGATATCAAATCTGTCGATTCTGTTGGCATAGAATTCGAACTGATGAGAATGAACTGTGTCCAGCATGCAGGAAAGCTTATCCGGAGAATCCAGCCGATTTTAAGCCTTTAACCCAGGAGCAGGTAATTTATTATACTGGGGGTCCTCGATTTGAGTAGATTCGGTTTGAACAGAAAATTTTTTACCCATCAAAATCTTCGATTTGAGTAGATTTCTTCCTGTTTTCTCCGATTTTAATTGTTTACAAAACAAATATTTTTGATAAACACATTTCAGAAAATATTTTTAAAACATAAATTTTACTGCAATAAGCGTGAACTTATCATTTGATAGAAAAATCAAAAGTAAAATTACAAAGTTAATGTAAAACCTTACAAAATCGAAAAAAATAAACGGTTATAAAAAGTTCAAATTCAAAAACCTTACAAATTGTTCGGTAGAAATACATTTGTAAGGGTCTCATATTTGTGTTTTGTTTAAAAACAATATGAATATACGTTGAAATAAATTAAGTCACCTAATCAAATCGAGGACCCCCTTCTACTTCTTTCTAATTGCTCCTATATATTAATCACTCTTTATTTGTCTTTTAGATCTCTGCTCTGAAGGCTGAGAAACGTCAGCGTGATCAGCAACGAAAACAAAAGATCACGGAGAACCGAAAGCATTTAGCGAATGTTCGTGTTGTCCAGAAGAATCTTGTATTTGTTGTTGGACTTCCACCAAGACTAGCAGATGCTGAGATTCTTAAGAAACACGAGTATTTCGGGAAGTATGGGAAAATTCATAAGGTCGTGATTAATCCAAGTACAACTTATGCGGGTGTTCAGGTTAGTATTTAAATATATCGATAAGAATGATATTAAATTTTAATTAATCATGTAGGGTCCTTCAGCGTCGGCTTATGTCACGTATGTACATAATAATGATGCGCTTCGGGCGATTCAGAGTGTGAATAACATTACAATAGATGGCCGATCGATAAAGACGAGTTTAGGAACCACAAAGTATTGCTCTCATTTTATGAAGAATCAAGTATGTCCGAAGCCGGATTGCATGTATCTTCATGAGCTGGGCGATTCCGAGGCGAGCTTTACAAAAGAGGAAATGCACCAAGGTAAACATCAAGAGTATGAGAAGAGACTGCATGATGCACTCATAGCTCAAATGCAGCAACAATCTCAACAAGGTGGTGTAGCTGGATCGAATCCGGCGTCGACAAGTCCCATAGCAGTGCCGTCATTGAATTCAGTGAATGGTAATTCCGGTAATGGTTTAATGAAATCAGGTAGTGCAGAAACAAAGGAACTAACGAGCAATGGAGGCAATAATGGAACGGTAAATGGACAAATACAAAAGGAGGCATGGCCAAGTCTTTCTACGTCACCCGTAACTATAAAGGAGAATAAAACGAGTGTGAAAGGAAGTGAGTGATTATGCAAATTTTCCATTATATTTTCATTTCTTTTTCTCTAACATAAAACATAACTTATACAAATTTTTCTTTGTTCTTATTCTTATTCATTTTATGTGAACTGTACATGTACATATTTTCATTTGCAACGAACGTCCATAATAATTTTGATAGATGGAAACCATAAAGAGAACTTGAAGAATGAAGCCAACAGAAAGCACGAAAAGGTGAAAGAAAAATCAAAATCAACATCCACAAAGAGTCAGAAGACGACAAATAGTAGTAATAGCCACTCGTCGCTTCGTGATAAAAACAAAATTAATCATACACAGTCAAATAGTAATAACAACCTAGATGATGATTTGGTTGAGACAGATAGTGACGACACACCGTCTATTAGCAGCACAACAGATAGTGGAACAGTAAGCGAAAGTGATAGTGGAAAAAGTTCGCCACCAAGCTCATTCCCAGATCCTCCAATTCATCACTCAATTCAGACTAATAATAATAATAATAATAGTAGCATTACGACAACTTCAACATCAGCGGAACAACAGCAGTTGTCTAATAAAAATCTACAAAATGAACAGCAAACAAAATCGATTATATCATCATCAAATAGTATTATCGATACAAACGATATAACTTCTCTATACACTAATTCTAGTACTAATGATAAAGTGAACAATAGCATTCTCAAAGACAGCGGAAATTTGGCTGATACGTCAAGTAAGTTCATTGACTAATGACTATTGCTATGATAACGTTATCGATTGATAACTTCCTCTCTTAATTTGAGCATTTCCTGTTGACTACGTCAGTTTTTTTAAAAAAAAGAGTTGCATCATTTCCTTTTCTAAAACATATCACCTTCCTTATTCAACTTTTTATAGCATTTCTTATAAGGCAAAGACTGATGTTTATCGCAAAACTCATCTAATTTCAAACTTTTTCAATACGATTTATATCTTGAAAATGCATGCTTTAGGTCAGAAAGAATAACTTCAAAATTTGAAGCTTGAAAAACCATTTTTTGAAAATTAACGGTTGAAAAATTTTGAATTGTCAAAATTCTTTTAAAAATTTTAAGCCGTTATTTCAAAAAATAAATTTAAATTCTTTTTGATCGTTATTTTTTGAAATATTTTGTAACCAACTTTTATAGTATAATAAATGTCATGTCTTCTGTATTGCCCACAGCACGCCTATCAAAACTTACATTATTCGATGATAATTCAAGTTTCTTCTCAAGGAGCTCATTCTTAAAGCACGACAGCACAGATCATAGCCATGCTATGACAAATGCACAACTTCCTGATCTATTAAATGGCACCCTAAACAACAGTAATAGTATGGGACTAGACTCTAAACAAATACTCAAAAATTTGGGTACTTTTGGATCGAGTGAGCCACATGACGATTGGGAAAGTGCTTTTAAATACATAATGAGTAAGAATAGCTTCAATAAACACTATGATGAACAGCAACAGGAAGACTGGTTGCGCTTCCAAGAATTAAGAAAGCATCCAATGTCATCAACCAATAGTGGAGTAGGATTAAATCAATTCAACAATATGTTTAATAGTAAGTCGCAATTTCTTTCAAATTTACTCTCTTTTTTTATCAGCTAATATGGAGTTATTTACACTAAAATAATTGCGTCTTACTTTTTTATATTTTTCCTTCGTTCTCCGCAACATTCTTTCAACGCGAATCGAATCGAAAACGTAAAAATAAAAATGAATAACCAGATGATAACAATATTGATAACATGTTTACGCAAAATGAAATTAATCGAGCGATGTTCAATAATCAATATTCGCAACAACAGCAGCAGCAACAAAGAATGAATCACAATACAGACCTAAATCATGTGCATCCAAATATGTCTAAATTCTTTGATTTTCATAAGCAGCAGCAACAGAATCAATTCATGATGAACTCAAATCCGTTGACTGATCAACTAAATATGGCAAATCTATTAGATAATCATCATCGTATGAATCCGAATAGTTTTATGGATCAAAATGGTAATTTTTTTCATTCACTTATTTTTTTATGTGCATAAATGTTTTATGCAAAATTATCTCCTTCCGTTCCTTGTTGCTGAATTATCAATGAACCCTCTTTGCTCTTTCCTTTAGGATTATCTCACTTACAAAAGCAGAGATTAATGAATAATAAATATGAAGGCAGCAATATGCCCTATTCAAATACCCAGTCACAGAATCGAATGCATAATAATCCATCACAGTTTTCAGTTGAAGACGATTTAGGTATGGAAAAGTGATAATTCATGTCTGAATGTCTGTCATCAATGCAATAATTTTATTTTTACAGGTTTTGATCCAATTAAAGAAAGTCATAAAGGATTATCGGAATTGATAAATGATGAAGTCTTGCAGCAACAACAAATGAATAGCAACAATTCACAACAAAGATCAAGAATGCCTCCACCCCCACCACCACCTGGTTTTAATCATTTACAATCTAGCGGATTTAATTTTGCTTCTGCTGCTACGCCAAGAACACAAAGTAAGTGGAATTTCGTGCAACTTCCGTAATTAAAAATAATATTTTAATATCTCTCATTGTTCTTTTATTTGTTACAAAAAAATAGCTGGAAGCAAATTCCCATTTGTTAATATGCAAGGCAGCACAACACAACAACAACAACAGCAAAATAACTGGCCGATGCACATGGGCTTTCAAAATCAAAATAATTCAGATGCTTTTTCGCATCAAACAAATAATCAACACAAATCAGCAGGTAAGCTGTAATTTTATATTTAATTTTAGTGTGTGAAATCACAGTGTGTGTAAAAATATGAGAAATAGAAAATCAAGTAGCACAGGCTGGGCTGGGTGTTAGAAACGTCTTTTTTGTCAAGCTCGATTTTGATGTTCCTTTGATTAAAAAGATCAACAAGATTAATAGTTTTTGAAGTCATGGATTTTATTCTTAGAAATGATAATGAGATGTCCATATTAAGCATATGAATAACATTAATCCAGTGTCTTCTCGTTAGTCATCAAATCAAACAAAATGACTAAGTCTGTGTCTACGTTTCTGTTGGTCAAAAAAAAAAGCTGTGTTTAAATACAATAACGGACTTTATTTATATTAACATGTTTTCTATGCTAATTTACTTACTCTACTTTTATTGTTTGCATTTTCATTTTAAAATGAATAGGATTCGGCAATAACTTTTCAGATTGGACATCAATGGACCCAGCAATAGTTTCATTCAGACAATTCTCCCAGTTTAATCCACAACAACAACAACAGCAGCAGCAGCAACAACAGCAACAAGCTCAAAATCCACCAAACAACGATATGTTCATGTCACAAATGAATCAGCAAGGTAATATTCGTCATACAAGGCTAAATGAAGCACATCGTATTGGTTTTATGATCTAAATTTGCTCAATGCTGCTTCTTCTTTCTTTCTCGTTAACCAAAAAAAAAAATCAGGTTTCGGTCATCATGGAATGAATATGCAAAACAACTTGCAGTCACAAACATCGCCAGCACAGGTAATGTTATAATGCATTACTATTTAATGGATAAATCATTATGTATGTGTCGAAATTGTAAAAAAAAGAAGAAAAAAAGATACACAGAGGTGCTGTTTGAGAAATTATTAGATTTAAGCTTAGTTTATAAAACTATCGAAATTTTTAGAGTGAAGCTCAAAAGAGCAACTCTGTGTATATATTTGGAGTACAGACATATGTACAAAAACACCCCAGTCGTATATATACGTAATAATATGTCTTTTTATAATATCATTGCAACATGTTTAATATGTCTTTTCTCTTTGTTTTCATTTGCTGTGCCTCTCTCACACTCATGCTTACTTCTTTTTCTCTTTTTTTTTCGTGCCAATTTAGGTCTTTTCTCATTCAAATTTATTGAATAATTATCACATGAATAATTTGGCAAATGGCTTTCCAAACAATAGCTTTGATAAATTCTCAATGCCATCAATTCCACCAGGTTTCCAGCAAGGCAACGGCAATAACAAAAAGGCAGAATGCATTAATTAAACAGCATAATAAAAATAATAATATACACAATAATTGTGAACTGATTTGATTCTAAAAAATATATGTTACAATTACTCTTTATATTCGTCTACCTTATATCATTTATACACAAAACAACAACAACTATTTCGCTAATTTTTGCATTATTATAATTGAGAGAGTAAAAAATTATATGAAAAATTTAAAAAATATATTTCTTCTTATATATTGCTTATATGTTTCACAGAAACAGATTATATTCGTGTTATGAAGAGAATGAAAGCATCTGACAGTTATTTGATTCATAATTTTTCTTCTTTCTTTATTCAAATGATATATTTAAAGAATGAAAAAAAAAATAAACACAGTAATAAAGGGAAAAATTAATTCACAGATCAGAAAGTAATAAGCTATTGTTGGAAATGGATAATTATAATCAATTATTTTAAACGAAAAAAAAATATATTAAAAAAAACTATTAAATTGGGGAGAAATCCAATATGAATATATTCACACCGTTTCATAGAATATCTCACTGGATAAGATGAGCTTTGCTCAGCATACGTTTGAAAATTTAAAGTCTCGTATATCATTTATTTGATTAAAGCTCAATTGATTTTAAAGATTTGAAAAGATTTTACGAGTTCCTTAAGTTCCTTACTAGATTCTTTTTTTTTAAAGCAATGGTTATTCATCCCATGTCCAAAATCTAATCAGTTGTACTTTGAAGCATCGCGGATCGAGTCTCTTCGATGTCTTGTTATTGAGATAACTTGCTGAGCATCTTCCTTGATTTAAAAAGAATTTCGTTATTTTCCAAGTAATGTCACAAACAATCTCATTTGTGACTATTGTAAAGCATATAGAATTTCAGGATACAAACTTCCTGCTTTGAAAAGTTTGTTATTCATTGAGGCTTTTCAAAAATGACGTCCATCAAAATGCAGGATTTTTAAAAACCCCTCAAAACATTGTCAAAAAAATTATGAAAGAGAAAATAATGATTTTGTTCGAACCGTCATCAAATTCTAGACCCCCACCTAAATGTTGGGTCGTTTAGGGGTTGTTTGCTAATTAAATGCTTTATGGGGAGGAGAGTGAATTTGTTAAGATTTTCCCAGAATTCTATTCTTCTGTTCTCAAATAAATGATCAATTTCTTACCCAATCTGAGCAAAAGTTGAACATTCAAACTGCAGTGAATACGGTGTGGATATAAAAAATAAAAAAATATATTATCATAAAATGATATAAAATTTGTGCAAATTTGAAAAAAAAATTTTTTTTTGGCTTTATTGAAATGAAACCTATTGAGAGAAATGCTAATGTTGAAAAAAGACACACAAAACACAAACACACATATTTAAACAGACATGCAAAAAACCTACCTACTTAAAGAAAAATATGAGAAGACACTCAAAAACATTTATGATAAATTAAAATACAATGCTAATCACATAAGAGGTTCACGAGGAGATTGATTTTTGATGATGAAAATTAATAATGCTATATCACTTTATCGAGAATAATAAAAACGATCATTAGAAGATTTTGAGAGAAAATCTTTTAAAAAAATAAATGAGAAAAAATAAAAACTATCTGATGATATGTAATCGATGATATATGATTAATAAAATTATATGAAAAAATTTAAACTTGTCTTGTACATGCTTTATATTTTAGATTACAGATTTCTTTCACGTTGAGTTTCGCTATTGACTAGATGTGTTGTAAAGGACACTAAAGTACTTAATATCCCGATCTTGCAAAAGTTTTTGAAAGAAAGGGTTGTCTTTAAATGATATCTAAGAGCCCCAGACAAGGAAGTCAGTACTTACTTACTCTCTGTGGTACACATGGGCTCATTGCTGCGATTACATAAAGCTTCATTACTCAAGTGAGCTCGTTTGCGTCGCTGAAAAGTCCTTCAAGACAGCTGGTACCTTTGCAGTCGAGTTAAAGTCTCAACACTCTCTGACAAGGGCTATTGCATTTTATTTCGACTATAGATTTTGAGCAGTGTTGACAGACAAAACATCTTATATGGAAACTTGAACATCATGCGATAGTTATTCTCTGCTGATTGAGTTGAATGCTACTGTTATAAAGCTCTATATTCTTGTTATTTATCATTTCTCTGAATGATTTGACTGATACTGACATACTTTTAATTTAATCAACTGTCCTGAAATGCGGATAAACTCTTTGTAAAGAGGGCTCAGTCTTGACATTGAACCTGTTGTAATATTGTAAATAGATCTGAACAATCATTGAAAAAGAAAATGAATAAAAGTTCAGTTTAGAAACACAACTCGACAATATAACATGGCGCAGTCGAAAAATTATGATTTGGTCAAATCTATTGATTTAAAAAGTCAATCATTACGTGTAGAATGGCAACGATTCAAAAGAGAATTTGATTGTTACCTCAATATCAATGAATTAGAGAGCAAAAGTGAAGTTCAGAAAATCAGTTATTTTACATTATTAATTGGAACCGAAGCTGCAGATGTAATTGACGAACTGGGACTATCGGAAGAAGATAAGAAAGTCTTGAAGAAGATAAGAAAGTCTTGAAGAAAATAATTGAAGCTTATGATAATTATTTCACTCCGAAAACCAACTTGTACATTCAACGTATGAAGTTTTATCAGCGTAAGCAAGTAGATGAGGAGTCGTTTGACGAATTTCTGTCAGCTGTTCGTAAATTAGCGTCAACCTGTGAATTTGACAAGAAAGATGAAGCAATCCGAGACCGTATCATTTTTGGAATGAAGAATGAAAAAAAAGAAAAAATAATTTTTTCAAATGAATTTTCGTGATTGAGAAAATTCGTCTATACGAGATGCAAAAGAAAGAATTGAATCGTGCAAACATGAATGAAAAAAGTAAAGTGGATCGAGTAAGCAAAGACACCAAGTGTCATCGATGCAGTTACGTTCACCAGAAAGACAAGTGCCCAGCAAAAGGCAAGAAATGTTTAAAATGTCAAAAAACTGGACACTTCGCCAATTGTTGCAAAGGAAGCAAGAAGGTTGATGCAATGAATGAAGATGATGAAACAGCAAATTCAGATTCAGTAAGGTTTGTCAGAAGTTTGTCATGGTACAAAGATTTGAACATTGACAATCACATCATTACATTTAAATTAGACTCTGGTGCACAGATCAACACGATTACTGAAAATTTGTTCCAAAAGTTTCTTCATAAATTGAAGCTAGTTGAAACTAAAGTAAAAATTCAAGCTTATTTTGGTGGAGCAATGAAGCCACTAGGCAAGGTAATTTTGCCGATAGCCATTCGTAACAAAATATTTTATGAGGAGTTTATTATTATTAAAGGAGAATTTGAACCTTTGCTAGGACTAACATCCTGTCTCAAATTAAATTTAATTTCAAGGATAGATGTTAATAAATGAATAAGTCCAGAGAAATAGAAGATGAGAAACGCGAATTTATTGATCATTATCATGGTGTTTTTGAAGGGTTAGGGAAATTTGACAAGCCTTTCAAAATGCATTTAAAAGACAAAGCCATTTCATTTGCTGGTTCACCTCATAGGATATTTTTGAAATTATTATTATTATTATTATTATTATTATTATTATTATTATTTATTTATTACTCGCAAGGAAAAGCCATGTGAAAAGTATTTAAACTATTTCAGATGGCATAAAAAACCTTACTTAACCTTTTCATATTTTATGCACATAATTAAATTAAGTTACAATGATATGTTGATATCGTTAAAGAACTTATAACTAAAAGAAACATATTTATGGCTTTAACGGTTAAAATGAATTTAAATGTTGACGTACTAGAGTATTGAATATGAATAGTGTTTTGGCTACGAGGTTTTCAAAAAGTGAATAACATGAAATTAACGGTGTTCGACTGACTGAGATATTAATCTTTTTGGCGAGAAAAACCATACTAATCAGAAAACATTAAGATCAACCACAGATTCCACAATAACAATAAATCATGTAAGGAATATCCCAAGATATAGGAACTTTGTAAAAGAAATTATTAGTAATTCAAATTGGTGCAAATTTTAGGTAGAAATTCATCCAAATGATTTTAAATGGCTGTTGTTGAAGCATTTCGACATGAACTGGTCATTGGAGATGATATTTAAATGCATGGATGTGAACAGACTTCCTGATTTGAATTGGTAAGTTGTTGTATATGTTAACACCAAAGTGGTCGATATCCTTTTTACCAAAACTATTTTTTGCAGCTGCTGATCGAAGAGACATTGTGTTACGAGCCATTCTATTGCGCTCAAAGACCAAGTTGTTATGCACAGACTTGTTTCTACAGAGGAAAATAAGGCACGCAGTGTTGAGATAGTTAAGAGCACGGACAGGTAGAATGTTATCTTTCGCAACCTTCATAAACATTTTTACGCGATTATCAAGTCTCTCAAACCCATACATGTTTCTTAACATTCTGTTCTGGATTGTTTGGATCGGTTAAATTAAAAGACAAAGTGCTAATGAAGATGAATGAAATGGAAGAGGTAGGTGTGATCTCTAAAGTAAATGAACCGCGTGAATGGATCAATAATATTGTAGTTGTTGAAAAGGGTGAAAAAATAAGAATTTGCATGGATCCTAAGTATTTGAATGAATCACTTAAAGATTTTCGGTATCCTATTCTATCTTTAAATGAATTAAGACAAGATCTCAAAAATGCTAAATATTTTTCTGTTCTTGACCTCAAAGACGGATTTTGGCATATAGACTTGGACGAGGATTCAAGAAAATTGTGTAGTTTCACCACTCCATTTGGTCTTTATCAGTTCAATAATTTACCTTTTGAAATTAAAATTGCATCTGAAATTTTTCAAAAATACATGTCAGACACATTCGGTGATCTTAAAGGTGTCAAGATTTATATCGATGATTTAATAATTTTTGGAAAAGATTTAGATGAACATGACTTAAATATTAAAGCAGTTAGGGCTCGTTCACTTATTACGTAACGCAAAAAAACGAGTTTTTAGACCCCCCCTCCCCCCCTGTAACAAAGCGTAACAAAATCTTAGACCCCCCCTCCCCCCCCATAACGTAACAATAATTTTTTTCATTTAAATTGTTTATCAAATGTTTATTATACTTCCTTTAAGTATGTAAAATAAACAGTTTTACTTATAACTAAAAAGCAGAGATCGAAGCCGATTTTTTCGGCTTAACTCAATTTTTGATGTTTTTGATAGAAAAAAGCCATTTAACACCCATTTCAAGTATTTAAATTGAACTTTATGTGCTTTACTATGATTCTGTGTAACATTTTGTCAGCATGTAGCTATAGGAAGCTCAGAATTTCAAGTTAGCCGATTTTAAGCCGATTGGCTTAAATTTCGGCTTAAAATCGGCTTAACCTTAGGTTGAAAATAAAATAAGATCACACTTTTAGCAAATCAGGATTTTAAAAGTTTTCTTGTGACAACTAGAAATGTAACATAAGTTTTTTTCAAAATATTGTGATTAAGTCCAAGAACACAATGACTCGAAAAGCGTGGGGCTTTGAGATTTGACGCTTCTCTTACTTAAGAACTTAGTTGAACTAAGAAATGCATCCTTAAATTACGCCCCACGCTTATAGAGTCATTGTGTTCTTGGACTTAATCAGAATATTTTGAAAAAAATTTATGTTACATTTCTAGTTGTCACAAGAAAACTTTTAAAATCCTGATTTGCTAAAAGTGTGATCTTATTTTATTTTCAACCTTTTGGTTTTTAGTCTTTTTGATAAAAGCGTGTTTTTTAAAAAGTTTTTTTAACGTTTTTTTATTTGCTCCTGTTTTGGTCGCTTGGTTTTTAGTCTAAACAACAGATTTAACTTCAAGAAAAAATGTTATTTGTTTTTTAAGTCTTTGGGAAAAAGCGTGTTTTTTAAAAAGTTTTTTTAACATTTTTTTTATTTGCTACTTTTTAGTCTCAATCTTTCAATCGAATATCGACCACAGCAATTCAAATTCAACTCCACTTCGTTTTACTCCGTTTCGTTCAACTGTTTATAGATTACATTTGTTCATTCATTTGTTTTATAGAATTTAAGTCATACCTGGAAACAGATGAAACTTCTTAAAAAATATCCTGAACTTCAATTATGTGCGCTTTCTGTGTTTTTTAAAGCATTCATTAGTAAAGTACATTAAAAATGAATCTTAGAGATTTTGTGTTTATCTGTACGATTCCTACTACATAACGTGTGGATTATTAACATAAAGATGCAACTCACATAGATGATGAGATCTATATGTAACGTATTTATAACGGATTTTTCAAATTTAATTCAATGAATGCACAATGATTCAGATTCGGAAAAAATGTCCAAAAATTCCTTGTGCACAATATTTTTCCAACACATTAGAAAATTGAAAGTTTTTGTTAATTTCTCTTGATTTGAATCTTTTAGCATCATCTACATAATGTTTTCGTTCATTGCTCAAAAAATTAGTCCCTAATATAAAGGATAAACATGATTTTTTACCAAAAGTTTGTAAAAGTTTATCAAAAAAATATTGTGCATGATCAAATTTTGTATGAAAATTTATGTAAACTTTGATCGCAAATATCTCGAAAACGGCATCAAACGGCATGTCCTCAGTAATATGGGAGATAGATTTTAACTTAATTAATGGATT